TTGAACTGTTCTGGAACAGTGTTGTAAATACAACTTAACCACTGATTTCTAGTCATGTTCTCTTTTGGAAGGCCAAACTAAGTATTTTCGCTTTCGCAACGAAACACACAGCATCTTCACAACATGGCGGCGGCGGTGGCAGCAACAATAAAGTTATGCCTTCTTTCTTTGCGTGAACATTTGGGCGGCGTTATGCAAATCTTCCCACATCGTGACATTAGACATGTGGGGGCGTGTTTACACGAGGCGTTTTAGGAGGACATGGACTAGTCTTAACTTTTATAAAGAATATCTCTTTGGGTTTGAGACTTTAGTCTTTGCAACTTTAGGGATCTTATCTATTCACGAACAGCTTGTAACACTCCAAAGAGAAAAGAAAACTTGAAATCGCATCATATGACCCCTTTAAGATGGCAATATCACAATATCAATATGCACTGACCCACGCTGGCTTTGAGGAACTTGCTCCCAATGCGCTGATCCATGCCGATGGCTCTGGCCACCTCCTCTACATCAGCGCCAGTGGATTCACACAAGGCAGAGATGGAGTTTATACTACTGATGCGCTGAGCCAGGAATGCATTTGCTGCCTAAAACACACATTATAATTAAAGGAGTTTTACATATCAAATTATTACAGAAATGCTCAGCTTTTTTCTGGCAACAATTCTTATTAGGCTCGTTCTCATCACTCTGATCATTGATTGAATTCTTATATTTAAATTATGCATACCAGTTTGGAAAGTTCTGAGGACCAGGTGTTGGTGGTGATTATGCGTGATTTGGGGACCCAGTGCTCATAAACTGCACTGAGAGCACTGATGGCCCTTTGACCCTCTGGAGTCTCATCTCCACCTATCAGGACGCGATCTGGGTCCTTCAGGTCCTTCACTGCTGTACCCTCCGCAAGGAACTCTGGGTTCGAGAGAACCTGTAATCAAAGGTGCGAAAAGGTCATTTATTAACACAGAGGAGCAGTGAACAAATCCCTAAGGTCCACAAAGTTCACTTGAGAGAGGCAAAAAATAGCAACCTTTGTAGAAAATCCCTTTTAAAACAACAGCCTAACCCAGATTATATTTACAAGTCGACGATGGCTGTGTAAAATGTCAAACTAATGTAGAAGCATATTTTCACAACATAAATTAGACAAACAAGTTCCTTTAACTTTTTAATACCCCCACTGTGTCCTATTTGAGTGAACACACACACGTATACATACATTTATATACTGTACACACACACATTACTATTCAGTAGGAGTCCTTAAGATGTTTTTAATGTTTTTTAAGGAAGTCTCTTATGCTCACCAAGGCTGCATATATTTGATATAAAATACAGTAAAAAAAATTACAATTGTGAATTATTACTACAATTTAAAATGACTGTTTTCTATTTCAGTACATTTTAAAATGTAATTTATTTCTGTGATGCCAATGCTAAAGTTTCAGCAGCCATTACTTCAGTTTTTAGTGTCACATGATCCTTCAGAAATTACTCTAATATGCAGATTTGGTGCTTATTTCCTTATTATTATCAATATTTAAAACAGTTGTGCTGCTTAATATTTTTGTGGAAACTGCAAAAACTATTTTTTACAAGATTCTTTGATGAATAGAAAGTTTAAAATAACAACATGTATTTGAAATAGCAAAAAGGTGATTTTAAAAAGAGTGGATGGTGACACTTTCCTTTATACAATTGAACCTGAAATTCTTGACTAAATCTCATGGACATTTTTTTTTGTCAAGTTCCGCTCACACAAACACACCTGCAAATTGAGGCTGGGTTTGGTGTTTGCATCAAATATCCTGCGGATGCTCTCAGCTGCTCGGACCGGCACCGTGCTCTTCTCCGTAACGATTTTATACCCATCCGACATCTCCACAATCCGCCGTGCACATGCCTCGATAAACTTCAAGTCAGCAGCACGACCTTTGCCCATACCATACGTCTTAGTTGGGGTGTTTACCTGAGCAAAAGAGAAGGATATCTGGGTCAGTGTACAGACCTACATACAAAACCACATCAAAATAGTTTGTCACACTCACGGAAATAAAGACCAGATCTGCCTCTTTAATGGCAGAGTCGATATCTGTGGAGAAAAAGAGGTTCTTCCCACGGCAAGACAACACCACTTCATTCAGGCCCGGCTACAACAGCAAGAAGAAGAGACACATTTCATGAAGAATTCTCATTAAAAACATTTGTAAATGGATGAAGCATTTCTTTTAGAAATGTGTTGTACTATTCACTTGTTTAAGGGTAAAACTATTTCTAATTAAGAAAATAAATCAGAGTGCACCTTTAACTTGAATGTACATCTTTAATGTTGTTACCTCGTAGATGGGCAGGGTGCCAGAGTTCCAGGCTTTGATCCGGGATTCATTAACATCCACTACTGTTACTGTGATCTCGGGACACATGCTTGCAATGACACTACATGTCGGACCGCCAACATACCCAGCGCCTATACAGCAAATCTTTTTAATCTGAAACATCTGAGAAAAGAGACAGATGGAATCAAGGTTAAAAAAAAATTAGCCCTAAATGGTCTGCAACAGATTATGAGACAATTATGAATGGCCGCTTAGTAACCATTCAACTACTCTCAAGGCAATTCCTTCTCTTTCACAGAGACCCAGGGCCTCATGAGGCGCTCACTGGTAAGTATCATATTACTGAGCCCCTGGGGCTTTATGTAGTGATGAGAAGTTCGGCTCCTTTGCGGCGTTCGGTTCTTTTGAACAGTTCATCCCAAAATACGATTCAGTGATTCTTTTATATAATATATATTTAGTGATCCACTAATAATGCTATTCAAAATAAATCCTAAAATCAGTTAAGTCTCGCGTGTATATTACATTACGGTAATAAAAAATTAGTTTTTGTAAAGTAAATTACATTTCAACCCATCAGTCCAATCTCACTCATCGTTTCTCTGGTAAATTATTCAGTGGGTCTTTGACATCGTGAATGAATCGTTCAGGGCTGCGTTTCCCAAAAGCATCGTAAGTTTAAGCACATCGCAGACCCATAGAAACCAATGGAGCTACGATCAATTTAGGCTTACGATGCTTTTGGGAAACACAGCGCAGGGCGGTTTTGTCAAAAGACGAAACCGTTTAAGTTAATTAACGTGTGTGGCTCTGCTGCAACAGCCATGAATAACTAATAATAAAAAACAGATGATACCATTTAAAGATAGATAGAAATAACGCACATTTTGTGTCCGCAAAAACAAGTTTATAACGGTTGCCTGTTGATGCTTTTAACATGTAAAATGTCGGACCGCCAACATACCCAGCGCCTATACAGCAAATCTTTTTAATCTGAAACATCTGAGAAAAGAGACAGATGGAATCAAGGTTAAAAAAAATTAGCCCTAAATGGTCTGCAACAGATTATGAGACAATTATGAATGGCCGCTTAGTAACCATTCAACTACTCTCAAGGCAGTTCCTTCTCTTTCACAGAGACCCAGGGCCTCATGAGGCGCTCACTGGTAAGTATCATATTACTGAGCCCCTGGGGCTTTATGTAGTGATGAGAAGTTCGGCTCCTTTGCGGCGTTCGGTTCTTTTGAACAGTTCATCCCAAAATACGATTCAGCGATTCTTTTATATAATATATATTTAGTGATCCACTAATAATGCTATTCAAAATAAATCCTAAAATCAGTTAAGTCTCGCGTGTATATTACATTACGGTAATAAAAAATTAGTTTTTGTAAAGTAAATTACATTTCAACCCATCAGTCCAATCTCACTCATCGTTTCTCTGGTAAATTATTCAGTGGGTCTTTGACATCGTGAATGAATCGTTCAGGGCTGCGTTTCCCAAAAGCATCGTAAGTTTAAGCACATCGCAGACCCATAGAAACCAATGGAGCTACGATCAATTTAGGCTTACGATGCTTTTGGGAAACACAGCGCAGGGCGGTTTTGTCAAAAGACGAAACCGTTTAAGTTAATTAACGTGTGTGGCTCTGCTGCAACAGCCATGAATAACTAATAATAAAAAACAGATGATACCATTTAAAGATAGATAGAAATAACGCACATTTTGTGTCCGCAAAAACAAGTTTATAACGGTTGCCTGTTGATGCTTTTAACATGTAAAATGTCGTTAAATGATTTATGGTTTGATTGCTGATGTTCTCGTGAACATAGGAACTCTTTAGTTTAATCATTTAAAGATTTACAGAACATGATCAGTTTTAGATTCTGTATTATAGCTTCAATCACAACTTTAAATTCTATGTGATCTACTTTAAATATATAAAAGATTTCAATAGCTATAATACAGACTTACCTTGTCTCACAGTGAAGTTCTTCAGTTAAACACTCTTCTGTGTGACTCAGGCCAGTCTGCAGGTACGGTTCCTCCGTCTGAGGTGCCTTGTTCCCGAATGAATAAAACTATTATATCCTTGATACATAAACTCACGCAGAACACACACACATTTACGAACGAACACACACCCACCGGGAGGGGGATAGCAACGTAAACACTTCAGGGAGGGGAGGGGACAAACTCTGCTTCCGGGTCATTAAGTCTTTTCAAATTAAGAGTCTCGTTAACCTTACGAAGCGGTAATCAAAAATCATTTTGACTGTGACTTAAACAGAACAAATGAACGTTCATAGACCGAAATGGTGTATTCTTGTCATTTAAATCTAATTTAATTAGATAACATCAAATAAATACGGTAAAACTGATTTCTGGGACATTTCATTTGACATAAATGCCACTAAAGCGGAACATTACGTGTGGAGAACGCAGACGTTTCAGAAGCAGCCAATCAGTGACTGAGAGGTCTCGCTGACGTAACATCAGAGGAACGGATTAGTGGTCCTTCTGACGCAGAAATGACTCTTGAGAGTAAAGTCATATCGACAAATTCTACTTAGAAACGTATGAAAGAGACTAACCACCACCAACACATACTCCCATTCCCACATTTAACGAAATAAAAACACGTCCTGATGCTATTGTCCGTATTTATTTGTAGTAACCAAAAGTGCATAGATCAAGCCCTTTGTCATAGAGCAGTTTCATTAGAACGGTGTACATACATAGACAGAATTTACATGCCCTGAAATCAACACCACCACCACCACCTTAACTGATCTACCCAGAAATCATTAGTCCAGCCAACTGCACCAAGTTGTGCAAGACATTCTAACATTCTCACAGATCCGATGAGACAGGCCGTTTGAGTAAGTTACACCAAACTTGAAATGGGGCAGATTTACATCCTCGCTTAAGTGTTTTTCTGGAGCTTTGCATTCTGTACACATCTGTAAAGGTGCCACAACCAAAGTGCTACCGTTCGAAGATTTGCCTTTAAGCGTAAAATAAAAGGCAATCTCACTCTTCACAAATATTCCCAAAATTCCTTAGTACCCAATTTATCTTCTTATTTTGAAAGATTACATTGTTTTTAGATTTTCACCACTGAAATTTGACAGCTACCCATACCATTTGACTGTTTTAGTTAGTATAGCTACATAATGATTCCTGAGCAAATGCAAAAAAAACTGAGACCAAAGAATGGCATTCAAGTAGCTATGCTAGCAATTGCTCTAGCGATTTTTATGCACAAAGGGTAAATAGATTGTCAAAGTCTTCAGGGTGGAGAGGTCTGCTTTAGATCAGCCACCCTCTCGGTGGTCAACAGATCCCAGACCATGACAACATCCACACAGCCATGACGTCAAAAGTAATAAGAGCCAACTGGAATACGCCCATTTCATCATTTCCTCTTGCACAAAAATTTTACTTAAGAAGTGGTCTTGGTCAACCTTAAGTCATGACTCAATGCAGAGTCAAGGCTCATTCTCCTCCATGGACCAATGGCATCATGTCTGTGAAGCCATCATAGCTTTGGAATGTATTGGCTACCACAGGACAAGAAACATTTTCCTCTTCACCTCAGTCTACTCAAAAATAACCCAAATCTTTTGACGACACCCAATTTCTAGGTAACCTTTCCTTTAGATCACAATTCATATTCAGGCTGATCTAGGGCAAATGTCATTATAAAGGCCTATATGTCATTTTAACAACTTGGTAAATACCTAATAATGCTTTATAATAAAAATATAATAATAAGAAGAAAAAAAATTGAAGACAGAGATATATAAATCCGGGAAAATGTAGACTCCAACAATTCAGCACTTTCACCACTTTCACCACAACTTTCTCTATTTGCTTCCTCTTTTGTAACACGTTGTAGAAACACCTTGTTATCCAAGTGGCTGTGTAGATCAGCCCCCCCCCTCATCGGACTAAAGAATCTGGAATCTGAAACACTGACAGATGATTAAGGAAACTAATAAATTATATTAGCCACAGTAGCTGATCAGGTGGAAGCTGGATTAAAAGATTAAATCTTTTGCCGTGGAAAAACCTCTAGTCCACAGGAGGTGCTGGTGGTTCTCTGCCATGATTCTAAATGAGAAGAAAAGAATTCCATCCAGTGACTACAGGAATTACAATTCAAGGATTCATGTAAATGAAGTGTTGAGTTGCTACACTTTCTGATTACTGTTATTTCACTGTACTGATCATTTACACACTACTGACCAAACGTTTGGAATAATTAAATAAAGATTTTTTTTTATGTTTTTGAAAGAATTCTTTTTTGTTGACCAAGGCTGCATTTATTTGATTGAAATACAGTAAAGCAGTACTATTGTGAAATATTATTAAAGTTTTATTTTAATATATTTAAAACTCCTGTGATACCATTTAAGATTGGGGTAAGTGAGAAATTAATACTTTTATTCAGCATGAACACATGAAATCCATCAAAAGTGACAGTAAAGACATTTATAATGTTACAAAACATTTGTTTTCCAAATACATGCTGTTCTTTTACATTTTCTATTCATCAAAGAATCTCGAAAAAATGCATCATGATTTCCACAAAAATATTATGCAGCAAAAATTTGTTTCTTTTTAAAACTTTAAAAAGTTTTCAACATAAAAATAAGAACTATTAAATAAATTGTAATAATATTTCCCTGCATTAATGTTTATCTGTATTTTGAATCAAATAAGCAGCTTTGTAGAGTATAGAGACTTATTAAAAAAAATTTAAAAAGTAATTATTCAAAACTTTTGACTGCTAATGTAAGTGATAACTCACATAGTTTGACCATCATTATATTATCTGTCATGACTTACACCATGGGGACCGGAGGGCTTGCTGCTGGCTGAAGGACCTCGCAAGCTGGCTGGGCGGAACAAAAAGAGCACGAGAGCTAGAACTAGCCATCCCATAATAATCATGGGTAGAGTGATGTCCCCTTCTACCGAGGAGTTAGGACCTGGCACTGCACACACAAGACTCAAATGTTAGAAAACATAACAGAATATGTGCTATCGTGTGATATGCTTTTGTTTTGGACACACAGACTTACTGTCCTGAAGGCACTCTGTGTCTGTACAGTAGGACTGGGACTGCCTCAGCTTGGAAATTAAATCACAAAGAAAATATTTGATCACAAAGGCTAATAAAAAAAACTCATCTAATGCAGTGTTTTTTTTTATTCGTTAAAGTTTGTGGATAAAAAAAATCTGTCTGAGTACTTGATGAACCATGACATAAACTGTAAATAAATAAATAAATACATTTCAACCTCATATTGACCCACATCACATGAAGAATTGACAATTTAATGACAAATACGTTGGAGTAAAAATGTCTTTCCAAGTTTTAATTTATATTACACAAATTGAAAATTCCCACATGCGAATTACACAGTTAAAAATGTACATGAGTAAAATTGTAATTATTGCATTAGTATGTTTCAGTGAGATGCTGTGATGGTTGTCAATTGCTTCAGGTAATGGGTGCACACTCTGAGTCTGAACTGCACACTCCTGTTAAATCAACTTTGAGCGACTGAAGTGAGTGTAGCCTACTCATTAATTCCTAAATGCAATACTGCAGAAAAAAAAAAATAATAATAATTTGCATTCCTAAACATTTGTTTGCCATAGCAATTAGGTCCAACATCATCTAGACATAGTCGGGGCTCTACGCTTACTTTTCTTTTAACTTAAAAAATTTAGGAGCACGTTCAAAATTTTAGGAGCACTAATAATAATTTGCATTCCTAAACATTTGTTTGCCATAGCAATTAGGTCCAACATCATCTAGACATAGTCGGGGCTCTACGCTTACTTTTCTTTTTAGGAGCACTTGTGCTCCTAACTTAAATTTAGGAGCACGTTCAAAATTTTAGGAGCACCTTCTAAACAATTATCCAAAATGTTATCAAAAAGTAGCCTTCCCATTACGAGGCGATATTTGACTCCTCTAACTTTATTAAAAGTATGTCATCTTTTGTCAAATTCTTAAAAATATATATATTTTATAAGCTTTTTAAAAATAAAATTAAAGTAGTAGTAATTAAAACGACAGAATAAGAACAAGTAGAATAAGAAATATAAGTTACCAATCAAATGAAATCAGTATTAACCAAATTAATTTGTAGAGGTGGCACAGAAGAACACAAAAGTGGCCTGGTGTACTTTGAGACATTTAATGAGGCTCAGAAGTGGAATGAGTGCAATTCAATCCATAAATCCATGATGATATTAATGTTTTAAATATAAAATTCTGAATATAGAAATATTACATTATTTAAATAACTGAAAAGATACTTTTAAAATGAAACAAACTGCCAGCAGGTGGCGGTAAGTCACTGATTTTTAT